TTATCATGTTGCTTTTCCAATCGCTCTAGCCTGGCCTTTATAAATACCTTATTAAAAATAATAGTGTGTATATAATATTTATAGTTTGATATATATATTGATATTATAACAAGCATAATTTAATTTTGTATAAAGCTAGTAGTATTGTGCAATATATTTGAACTATATACTATAAATAGAGATGGATCAGTCTAGTATAGTTTGACTGGTCTGATATTGGTCCTAAATACAGTTCTGATCTCAACTATTAGCTAAGAAAATAAAATATAATATTGGTAATTAATTTTCTAAAATAATTTTTTAAATCTCAGATATTTTATATTTAATAATATCTGTAAATTTTTATATAAATAAGTATTCTTTGTGTTATTATATTTTAAATTTAATGACATGAATAAATTTTATATAAATAAGTATTCTTGTATTATACACCTTCTTTTATTATAAGTGATTAACATCATTAGATATTAATTTGTTTTCTTTTTGCACAATAGTTTTATTAAATATAAATATACAGGCTTAATACAAAAGGTAATGATAAAAAAATTTTTGATAAATGGATTTTGGTAATAGAAAACACAACCAGAAATAATACACTACCATATTTCACAAGATCTGTTACTTGTTCCCAATCCAATATCTCCTAACTTTTAAACCCTGATAATAATGATATTGCTAAACCTCATCAACTAACAATCCTAACAATGATAGTTCTTCTTCTAATTCAACTTCTAGAAGTGTTAGAAGTATTTAATAAATGTTTTCAAATATGAGTGATAGTCATCAATTACGCCAACCATTGTGAATCAATATCTCATCAGCCTCTCTCTACTTCTCAAAATAAATCTACATCCTACCATGAATCTAGATCTCATCATGAATCTAGATCTTACTGTGAATCTAGATCTCACCCTACATCTTACCATAGCAAACATGATCGATCATTATCTCCACTTTAACAATATTCTTTAAGACAATGATCATGAGATAGATCTCTATTATGTGATAGTGATAGAAGATCAGAAAACCAAAATCAGACATATAATTGACATGGTATATATATAAGACTTTTTTTTTTTGACAATTTTTAAATTTTTTTTTTAATACATATAATTAAGCAAACCATCATCACAATTACCATTAGCAAGTTGAAGAGTGAATTTTTCATTCAACTTAAGCAGTTATACTTGATGCTTAAGAGGCTTAATAAAAGTTCAAACTAAATAAAGGCCAGGCTAGAGCGATTGGAAAAGCAACATGATAATTGAGAGAATGATCTCTCCACACAAGTGATGGACATAAGTGATTTCTTTTTTTTAATATCTTTGCAACAAATTTGCTATTGTAAATTTAGATTCTAGCTGTATAAAATATATTGGGTTGTGCTAAAAGGTAAAAAATATATATATTATAGGATATGTTTACCTGCATAGTTAAGCAACTCTTTTTAAGCTATATATATCTTTGCGAAACTGATATGAAGGATGCTCTTCGACAATGTCTTAAAGAGAAGTTCCCCAAATTTATGCATAATTTAAGTTCTAACTAATATACTAATAGGTTTCATAGAAAATAGTTTAGTCCTATATATATTAATAGCTATCATTTTTTTATTTATTTTTTTTTAATATTTATGTTCTTTGCTTTTAGTTTTTTTATTATTTTTGGCAATAGCTAATACAAAAAATGAAAAACCTTCAAGGTGCATCAGTTCAAAACATAAGGACAGCAGTATGGCATATATTTAAGTACGAACGATTACCACCATTAAAGAGAAATGCTGCATCAGCTGATATTATAAGTTGGAAACAAAGCAAAGAATTTGTGATTGTTTTTATGCGCAGTTTGAAATAATCTATAATGGTATTTTTTGGGTATCTATAATCATGAAGTTGGCCTTCTCTGAGGTTGCTATACCTAAACTCTCCAATAAGCACTTTGTCTTTACACTCATGGTCTGTGATCTTTTACTAAATTCCCAGTCCAAAAGCATCACGTGTACTGAAAAATG